GAGGTGGATTGATTCAGTGACTGGGATAATCGGGATGGGAGTGTCAGAGACAGTGCGATTGGCACAGGACAGAGCAGAGTTTAGGACTGTTGCACATAGGGTCGCTATGAGTCGCAAGCGACTCAGCACATAACAACAACAACTCAACCCTGAGTGTAAGCGGGGGCTTCCTTTCTCCCCACAGAAACTTGGTATTCTTCTTCCCAATCTAGGGTTCTCCCAGCTTCTCCAAATACCTCAGTAGGAACATAAAGCAAAGCATTCATTCCTTCTGTCTCCAGATCCTTGTATTCTAAGTCTCTCCTCCAATTCCTCTCTCTGCTCCCTTCCCTTTTCTTTCTTGCCCTCCTCCCTCTCATTGATTTAGAACCAACTTACAGTTGATGACTATTTGGTGTTTGAGGCTATAAAGCTCATGGGAGGAACTGCTGGTGGATTCGAACCACAAAAGAGACTCAACCATTCAGATAGCAATGCAACTTGCACTTCCTACTAAGAAGATTTCTCAGTTTTAGCAAAAAAAGGTTCAATGATTTTTAAAGCCAAGTAAGATTTCTAGGCCCACGAAATTAGCATTAATATGTTCCTCAACATAAGTGAGCAAAAGTTTGTAGATCCAGGGTTTCTCGGGGGTGGGGGGGGGAGGGAGGTTTTAACTCAGGATGGTATATTGAGTGTTAAGTTATTTTGATGCCCATAATATTTAGAAATGCTTTTTTTCTTTAGAAATTGGAAAATTTCTTTTAAGTGGAACTTCACTGTGTTTAGGAGCAAAGACACTTGCCATGTCCCTTTTATTTTAAAATGGAAATCAGGGAGAAGGTGTGATTTGCTTAAGAGTCACTCACTTTACAGAAAACCTTTCTAGAATGCATGATTTCCTTAAACAAAATGTACCTTGCTCAAGTACATTGAAAGGCTTGTGGTTGGAATTCACCTCGAGTTTTCTCAGAAGCAATTTTGAAAAGTCACAGCTTTGAGGCATCTAGAAGACCAGTTCTCTATTTGGCACACAGGGGCCCACAAGTAGGTATCAACTTGACAGCAACGAATAACAAAAACAGCCTTCACATTGTTTATAGTTTGACTCCTTCGGCTATTTCGCAAACACCATAGTAAATGTTTATCAAGTTTTTTTACACTTAACTCCCATTGTTCTGCTGGATATCCTAATTCAATTAGGAACTTTATCACGTCTCATATGTCCCTGTGTGATTTTCAGCAATGCAGTTAGCACTCTACAACATAATCTGAAAATTACCACCTGTGCTGATTTTAGACAACATGCAGAAAACCTCAAATCCTGTTTACTAATCCTTAAAACAGGGGTTTACATTATGCACATAAGAGGATTATTGCGAGTGAACGTAAAAGTGCTTAAGACACCAAAAAGTACAATTTTATGTAAATCAGATATTACTACTACTGGTGGCCTAGTGGCAAGAAGCTGTACTGCAATCCCAAAGGCGTACAATGAGAGTCCATAAACTGCTCCTCTGGAGAAGGATGGACAATCTCCTCCCATGCGATTAACTACCTCTGAAATCCACCGGAGGGGAGGGTCAGCTATATCAATGGTACCCAACAACAACAACAAACAACAATCAGCATTGGAGCACTGGTGGTGCAGAGCATAGGGAGTTGTCCTGCTAATGCGAAGGCCAGGCCTCACCAGTGGTTCAAATCCACAGGCCACCATGGCTCCAAGGGATCCTTGGAAGCCCTGGGGATGGTCAGCTATGGGTTGCTTTCAATGCAACAGCAAAGAGGTCTGAGTTTTGTTCATTTGTGGGTTTCTTTTTTAAAGTCTGACTTTAAGGTAAAACTTTTTACTGTGACAGCTTAAATAAAGAATTCAGTTTTGAAGATGATCAGTAGAAATCCATTACAGAAAGAAATAAGTCACTGTCTGAACCTCTATGTGAATACAAATTTCTCTCATAAAATATTTCTCAGCTATTTAAATGACACTTTGGATTTTTCATGTTGAATTGGGATATTTGATTGTATGGAGTTTTTGTTGCTTAAAAAAAAAAGAGAGAAAATCTAAAAGTGAATTTGTAGGAGTAGGAGCAGGAGCTGTGGAAAGTCCAACAGTCCTGGTAAAGATCTTGAATATAAAAAAGATTCAAATGAACTGAAAGAGTAAATGGCAGATTGTGAATTGTCTTGGGCAAAATATATTTGGTATATTTGGAATACAAAAGGAAGTATGTTTTTCCAAAAATTACTATGATTTGGAAATGGTAAGCAATATCCAAAACAGAAATCTAAATGATAGTTTATTTATGATTCTCTGTTCTTCATTCTCATCAAGTACAAATTTAAAAAAAATCAGAGAAGACATAGTAAAATGTCAAACTATCAGATACCAAGCTAAGGAATGAATCTGTACTACTATATACAGGGAGTCCTTGGTTGGTGGAAATGGCTAACATGTTCAACTATTAACCAAAAGGTTATGAGTTCAATTCCACACACAGTCCTATCATAAGAAAGGCCTTTTGCTTCCAAAAGATTATAGCCACTGAACACACTATGGAGCACAGTTTTTGTCTGACACAGGAAAGTTTGCTCTAAGTCAGAGTTGACTTTGCAGCCATCTGGTTTATACACGTATTATGTCTCATCTTATTGATCTCTATATGTATATTATTATATTTCAAGAGAATGAAACAATTTCCATCACCAAGGATTTTGGCAACTCATCTGCATTATGACAAACTACCTGAGTCCATCTTCAAGAATAAAGTCAAGGTGAGTGTTTCTTCGCACTGGAATCCTAGTTTGATATTTTTATACACAGATACTGACTCTGCATTATATAACAGAATGTTAGCAATGTGTGGAATTTAGTCTTTTGTGACAGTTATTTCTTTCTTCAGATATGCAAGCTCTAGTTTCAGTCCAGTCAAATCCATTTCTGACTAAGATAGAAAAACATACATATAGTAAAAATCTTTCAACCTGTCTCAGAGTGAATACATGCCAGAACCACTCTGAATATTTCACTTAACAAACTAATTCAGCATCCTGAATTGAGAAAGCATTGTTCTTCTAATACTTTCTGGAGACTACTACCTGAAGTCTAAAATGCTTTTTCATTTCACTTAATATATCATACTACATTGGTTGTTTGGTTCCTTTGTTTGTTTTATCTAAGCCACTTGTCAACAAGACCTCGGGGGAGGGCCTTTGTATTTAAAAGTCAGTTGTTATTATATTTTGGCACTCTTCTGTCAATATACTGTAATGAGGTAATCTGCAGATGCTGTGATGTTGAACCTTGTGCCAGTAGGGTGTCAAATGCCATAGGGTTATCCATGGTGTGCAGTGTTTTGGTGGACCTCCCAGTTTAAGACAGGTTTGGAAGCAGGAGTGGCATCCACTTCCTAAACAACATGCCTCCGGAAACTCTATGAACTCTGATAAATGATGATAGTTATAGAAAGGCTTCAGGCCTTTTGTTCATAGCGTTGCTATGAGTCATGCTTGACTCAATGGCAATCAACAACGTAATATATCAAGCTTTGTGTTCTTTCTATAGATCTTTGGCTATATTCTTACTCATTTGTTTAAAAATGTTGTTTTAGAAATCAGTACTCATTTCCCATAATTACTAGTTTTTGCCCAATCCTTTGTTTTCTGTCACTTGGTCTTCCCTCTGAAGGACAGAGAACTGGCAGGCTGGTCCCATAAAAATTTATGGTATGTGCAGATGAGTCAGAACTGCTCACAGCAGACTGTCTAGCAGGTTTTCAGAGGCAGTAAATCACACAGCAAGAGATCGCCCATCTTTTTCCCTCAGAGACTCTGGTGGGTTCAAATCACCCCCGGTTTGGCCCAGATGAGCCCCCAGAGCCCCCTTCCATAAAGAATTACAGCCTTGGAAAGCCTGTGAGGTGGTGTCTGACAGGGTCAAAACGAGTCAGAATCCACTCAGAGGCCATGGGTTGCTTGGGGGTTTCTGGTGGTTGGTTTATCTGTTTGTTTTTCCTCTGGTCTCCCTTCTATTTCCACTCCTCACTTCCCCAAGTTGTCTCTTTTCTTTCTCAAGAGGAAGAGATTAGAATCAATTAAAATCCACCCTTAAAGACTGGATGTTCTAAGTGTATGTGTGGGGGGAGCAGGAGTGGATTTCGTTGCCATGGAGTCAATTCTGTGAATAATGAATTAACAGTTTAGAAAGGGGGGGGAGTGGAAAATTGTTAAAATTATTACAATGGTAATGGGCCAGAGAGAAGGAAGAAACCAGTGGGGAAGGGACGTAAATGTTCCTGGAGAACCGTGACACAAGTGTTCTTTGAGTTGAGGATTAGAAACCACTTTAAAACAGTCTAATTAACCCCCATTTGCTGTTCTGATTCTACAAGGCCACAATCTTAACTGGAACTGAGCGCCCTCAAGTATGAGAACTTTTACTGCCTGTGTCAGCTTTGGTTAGTTACACTTTTCCCTTAACTGGCACCTTTGAGAATCTCCAAAATTAGAAATACATTATGGAGTTAAATATAAATACCTAATTCTAGGTGAAGCCGATCAATGCAGGTGGTTTTTGTTTGTTTTATTTTTGTGTGTCTACTGTCAAATCGATCTGACTGGTACAGAAGGAGATTGCCCCTCCTTCTTCAGAAGAGTATCTGGTGGATTTGAACAGCATACCTCCGGGGTTGCAGTGCAGCTTCTTGCCACTGTCGGTAGCATCAGGATGGATGGCGAAGAGATTGAGATTGTTCACAGCTTCAGGTTGCTCGGCTCCACGGTCAACACTCTTGGCACCAGTAGCCAGGAAATAAAAAAAAAA